TTATAACCATTGGGAACCATTGATCTTAATTAAGTTCAGAGTTGAGCTTGTAATAAATGTCCTTCCTTAGGAAAGAGTTCAGGAATGTGCTTAGATAGCTCCCCAACATGGTTGCAAAAGCAAAGACAACGAGCGCAACTTAATCCATTCCCAGCAGTTTCGAGATCTGAATCCGTGAAACCAATTCCGCTGCATTTTTGCATTATCTAGTGTTGATTTGAACAAAACACTGTAAAGGGATAGGGCCCCACCCAAAAAGCGATAACCTATATTTTCGTACCAAGCATCAACAATTGATTTTGACGGCGGCTCATATATATAAATATATATAAATATATATATATATATACATACCTACCTACATACCTACCTACCTCCCTACCTCCCTCCCTCCCTCCATCCATCCATCCATACATACATACATAATATTTAGTTTGAACTACAGATTCCTAGCCGTTTTTTCATGGTCAATACCTTTTTTCCCCTGGGTTTACTGAGGTGGGGCCGTGTACAGCTGGGGCAACAGTCGCCATGGTCGATTAGGCCTTGGCGAAGGCGGCCTGTTTGATGTTTTTCGTGGGTGGATGACGATTAAACATATTGACTGTATAGGTACAGTACGACTGTATAGGTATATGGTACATGATAGGTATATGACTGTATATATATATATATAATAATATGATATGTGTGGTGGGAAAACCATGAACGAAGTCACACTACGCTAATAGATATTCATTGCGGCACCGGCCTTCCAAACCAACCCAATGATGATAATCACGAAACATTTGGATGTCCCATCCATAAAATGAAGATGTTTCTTTTGGAGGTGCCCTCTGGTAATTTGTTACAGTTTGCTATTGAAAATGGTGATTATGATGTGGATTTACCCATGAAAAGAATGGTGATTTTCCATAGTTATGTTGGTTTCTTTTGGAGGTATATGGAGGTGTTGCCAAATTCACTTGGTGGATCTTGGTGGTGTTTTTTCTTCTTTTCCGATGGTGATGGGGATGCTGATGGGTCAACACTAATGGGACTGTCGGTCGATGTGGTTCAATCAACATCATCTACCATTGTCTTACCAACTCCAGGAATCAAACATGGCTGGCTGGACAATATGGAGATGATTGTCCCGTCAAAAGTCAAAACCTTCGTTTATATATAATTAGTGGATTATATGCATGGCCACATATTTGATTAGCTGGATGAACATGCAGATACAGCCATGGGTAGGGTCAGGTGCTTGCCATTTTGAGTCAGCATTTCATCATGTTTGTTCTAACTTCACTCAAGCGAGATACCAAGCTCAGACTTATCTTGTAGAGTGATTCTGGACTGGAATTCCAAGGTCTCAAATGGCATGGGATTAAGGATGATAAAAGATCCCAGCTACTATAGCTACTAGCGGCTTTGACCAATCCGATCAATCCGAACAATCCCCAGCTATCCGAAATGCCAGGCTCAACCATTGAATCTTCACCTCGCTTGGTGCCGGATGTGCCCTTGGCCAAGCACGTCAGTGCTGGAGGACCTCCTCTGGGGACCAGAAACGACAAGCGACCGATCCCTTGCGATGCAAAGATCATGCATTGCAAAGTGGTGCCCCTTTGTTAGCTGAGTCATTCTATAGATTTCTATGTGATCCCTGGTTGGGTTCATGGTTCCCCACTTTCGGAACCAAACCACCGCTTCGTGGGCGGTTAGAACATGGCAAAACAACGTCAGCTTGTGGAATATGATCATAGAACATATATTTGCATAAATGATGATGTATTTCAGTACCGGGAGACCATCACATTTATTAGCGAACACATCATGTTCAGAGGGTTGGGTGGATGATTGTGGCAACCTTTTCCCATCATTTGGGTTTTACGACCTCACAACAACCCCACTTTTGGCGAATAAATCCACATATTTTGCGGCTCAATTAATTCCCAACTGTTCGTCGTAAGCCCAGGCAAACTTGTTGTTGGTGGTCAAATCATATGTTTTTTTCTTCAACCCCCAAAAAGACGGTGATAGCTAAACCATCTTGCTTCCAGCCCATCCCTATTTTTTGGCAATTATAGTTGAATCAAGTTAAATCCCCAAAATTTTGGTTTGCTTCGCTGGTGAACTCACCTTTGAAGATTTCGAAGGCACCCTCACCGTTCCTCAACCCCTCAAAAAAGGTTTCTATTTATCCTCCAATGTTTAGTATGGTTCACAGGTCAGCTCACTTGTCTCTGTTCCTCAACCCAGTCGTTCAGCTATGTTTTGCAGCTTCATCATGTAGGATCTCATTCCGCGATCCTTGCCTCAAAGGGCAAACTGCTCATGTCCCTTGGAGAAGGTGAAACCGTCAGCTCGGTGTCACAGAATATGGCTACTTGGGGGTGCAGTTCCAGTTGGGGTTTCAATGGGGATACCTCCAAATGGATGGTTTGTTTCATGGAATTTGTCCTATTCAAATGGATGGTCAACAGGGATAACCCCATGACTTAGGAAACCTCCATATATATATATATATATATGTGTATAGATAACTTAGATAACCATCTAATTCTATATCGTTGTATCCCAATTTCTGGGGCTTACCATCTTTCCAATAGTTCAATAGTTGATTCCATTCATAAGCCCAAGTAAACAGGGTATCTCGAGGTGTGGAAACAACCGCAGTGGACAACTGGCGCTTCCACGGGCCCAACACGAGCATTGCAGCCTCTTCCAGGAGGTGCTCAGCACGGCTGGTGACCGTTGGAAGCGGGACATTGGGGCACCGAACTGGAGTGAAATCAGAAATGGCTGATTTTTGTATGGCTTATGATAAGTAAATCCATTCCAGTATGGATAAGTGAATGGCTTATTTCAGTATAGATGATAAGTAATTATATAAATGGGTTCTTTCATGTTATTACAGCATGGATGATAAATAAATGGGTTGTTTCACTATGTTCATTGCTTGTTTGAGGGATCAGTTCGGCGCAGATTTTTTTTGGCAACGGCTTTGTCTCAAAATTGCGGAGACACTCCCCCAGCAGAGCAAGTTTGACGGAGCCTCAAGATGGCATTGATAGAAATCCCCAGACCAAAGTGACACAAGCTGCTGGCTTTTCACGGGCGTCAGTCGGAGTCAATCGGAGTCAGTCGCATCCCAGCTGACATATTCTGGCAACATTGGAGTTTGTCCAAAAATCCAATGGTTTATCATGATTTCCCGTCCTGGAACCCTAAGATCAACTGAACGAAGCTCCGTTAATGGAAGCAGATTGGATTTGTGGTGATTTGTTTTTTTTCAAAGCTGGCTATTCTTGGGAGTATTCCCACTTATCAAATTGGTTCCACATCCCATGTCCATTACTAGCCCATGACGCATGAAGATCAAATATTTCCCATGCACCAGGTGGCACTTCTGTCCCAAGGAGTACGTCCCTTGTCATCCAAATCACTTAACCTGAAGGGGCTATGGAAGTTAATGACTGCTTGGTGGTTTCAAACATGGCTAATAAATGGGTTAAGGGTTATATTTTCTATATATTATGGAAACCTTCAAATATAATGGACTAGTTATAACCAAAAACCCTCTATATTATGGACTAGTTATATTTTCCATTTCATATAATCCGAAACCCATTGACGAAGTCCATCATTTTTCAAGATGGTTAAAACCACACCACCAACCAGTGGAGTTTATGAATCACTTCGTTTCTGCTGGTTTGACCTTCAATTTGGACACCTCCAGACCGATCCAGGAAACTTTCAGTCCTTGGCTCTGGCACATGACAAGAGATATGTTGAGATGTTCATCTACATTTTGTTTTTTCCTAAGTGAGTTTTTTTTTAAGTGGACGAACAAGCAAATGAACTTGTTCAACGCTGGGAGTGAAGATTGGTTCCATCAGACGTATTCTTTGGCAACACAACAAACCAATTTATTTCGGATATGATACCAGGAATCTCTGTGATCCGTTTCCTCCCCAATAATTAGTGGAATTATTGCTTATATTAAATACATATAGATGAATATATATATGTCCCTACGTCCCGGGGTTAAAGTGTTAACACATGTCTTTTTATATCCGAAGTGTCTGGCTTCAGCTCATGCCGTGTGCCGAGTGCGGGGTGTTCGAGGGCACTCCGACCTGTGGCGCGTGTAAGGCTGTAGCCCGGATTTGTGGTGCACTTCGATCAGGACTTCTGGCCAGTCAAGAGCGACGGGCTACAGAGGTCTTGCGGGGAGCTGCTGGTGAGCTCGCTGACCTGATCGAAGGCGTTCAGCCTTTGGGGAGCCAGGTAGGCTCCACACCTTCTCAGGAGGGAACGCCAGGCCTATCCTCCGGGCCACCACAGGCAGCTGCTGTGAAAGCAGAGGCCAAGAAGAAAGAGGAAGCCAGTGAGGACTACTCCTACGTTACAGGTGAGGGAGAGGAGTCCGAGAACGAGTTGGTTGCCGAGGAAGCGGTGGCCGTGGAGGTAGCGGCCAAAGACTCTAGCAAACCAGAGGATAAGGGGAGGGCTACTCAAGACTCCTCAACTCGAGCGTCCACTCCCAAGGGAAGCACGGACGTAAAAGGTTCCTGGGACCCCCGCTGTGATCCCAACTACCTGACCAATCGGCTCTGCCTGCGTCCTGCTCCCAAACCCCGTCCCGGGCGTGAGGGGGAGGACAGAAGGGCCAGGTCCCGCTCGGGAGCTGGAGCTCCTGACGGGAGGACCCCAAGGTCCACTGATCGCAAAGACGGAGGACGAGAGGACAGGTCGCCATTGCGCAGGCGAATCCCTGGAAAGGATCGAACAAAGAGGAGGGGAACCCGAGGGGCCAAAAAGCGTCAAAGGACCCAGGAGTTCAGGAACAAAAAGATCGAGGAGCGCAGGGCCAAGAAAGCAGCCCGTGACCGATCATGCCGCCAAAAGCCAAAGCAAAGGGAATGGCGCGAGGACTGGGAATCCTGAGGAGGCCCGCTGCCAGAGGGGCAGGGAATGGCCGGCGCAGGGGCGCCCTGAGGAGACCCGCGGCCATGGAAGAAGAGAACGTAGAGGAGCACGCAGATCCAGTCCCTCTGCACACCGTACCCCTCGGGCAGTTCAAGCCAGGGTCTGCTTGGGTTATTCCCGAGGCCACCTACTTTGGGGGCCAGGTAAAACTTGCAGGGGTGATACAGCGAGTGGAGGTGTTGAGGAACGCCTCTTACCTGTACATGCACCTCACGGGAACAGACAGCGAAGACATCTTGAAGATCCACACAGGGCAGAAGGATGCAGTCTTCAAGGGGCACATCTGCGAGCCCGGGTGCGGGAGGATCGAATCCGGATCGCTCCTGTTTCATGCAGTTCAAGGGCGCCAGAGGAGGACACACAACGAAGAGCCTTGGGTACTCTCGCTGGAGGGGACCACACCTGGAGGGGAGGACGAGCTTGCCGCCCTGAGGGCCCGGGAGCGGGGCTGGAGGAGGAATCGAGTCAAAAGGGAAGCAAGAAGGCGAAGAAGAAAAAGAAGCAGAAAGAAACCAGGTCAAAGGAGGAGAAGATGGCCACAGGTCGCTCGCCTGCCAGGGCCGTCCAGAAGGAAGCAGTCCACCTTTATGGTGGCACGGCGCTGGACCCAAAGGAAAAGATTCGCAAGAGGGTGCTCAAGGCGGCGCAGCGTTTTGCCATCAAGAAGAAGTCCAAGAGGTCAACTTCGAGCAGCGGCACGGGGAGCAGCAGCTCCTCAACGTCAAGCGCCGAGGGGACAACCAGTGTAGAGGGGGTCTTTGGGGAGGACACGAAAACCCGCACACTGGGGGAGAAGTTCCCGGGGGCGCTGAGCATGGAAACTCTGATGATGATGCGAAGGAGCCTCCTAACCACAGCGGGAGAAATGGGGGAGGAACAATCGACGAAACCGGTTGCCCTTCTCTACTTCCGGAATGTGTTGGGGAGGAGAGCCAGCGGTGCGCAGGCACGAGAGCTCCTAAACCTCTCCTGCGCAATAGATGCGCTGCTGAGGTCCAGGCCAGCGCAAGCCTTGGACATCCTCTGTCAGAGGCTCAAAGCCCAGGAGGCGGTGCTCAGTGGCACCAACTGGGCGGTGGCGCAACGGCTGGAGCTGGCCAGCCCCGACGCGACATCCCTGATACCACGTGGAGAACTCCAGGTAGCCAACAGAGAGTCTTACCTGGACTCCCGTGCCAGGTGGCAGTCGCAGAGTACAACAGGGGCGAAGGGCACAAACAAAGGGAAGACAAAAGGCAAGAGCGATCAGGCAGCCAAGGACGACAAAAAGGAGGAGGGCCGTCGAGAAAAGGGAAAAGGCGGAGACCGCAAGTAGGACGAGGTATGATGGCCCAGGATGAGGCCAGGAAACAAGATGGTATGACACGGGCACATGGTGCTCCTGAGCCGCAGGGAGCAGATGATTTTCCAATTCGGGAGTGCGGTGAATCCTCCCATGCCACCCAGGGCTGTAAAGTCCAGTCCGCATCTTTGTCGGACAGGGTGAAGATTTCTTCTAGTGAACCTGGAGGGTTCCACGGTCGTGACTCGGTTACTTTAAATACCCAGAGCCATGGCCCTCAGCAGCCGGGCCACAGTGCCATGGTTGACGATTTGAAGGCGACTCGTTGCAAAAAAAAAAGTGTTTCTGATCTGATGGGTGCCAGGATCCTGGAGCTTGGGCCAAGGGTTCAGCAGTGGCTGCAAGAGGTTGTGCCACTCCGCAGCCAGCCCATGGGTAGGAGGGATAAAGCCACCTTGTTCCCCTTACCTGCCTCTTCTAGCCTCCTGTCTGAGTCCTTCCCCCAGCTTTGTCCCTTGGGTGTTTCCTGGCTATGTAATGTCTGTATGGGTCTTAACTCTCTGTGGGGTGATGGCCTCACCTTTGAGGGTGAGATCACTGGCATTGTCCTGGACTGCTTGAAGCTCATTGTGACCGATATCCAAAGGGTTTGCTCATTGACAGGGAAGGTGGATCACTTTGATTGGGAAAACTTTTTCACCACAAGGTCAATTGACTATAAAGGTGATGAAGTAAAGACCGCCAGGGAGTTTTGCTGGAGCAACATTGCGCCGGCTCTCCCAAAAGAGATCGGGCGTGTACCCCTGAGTGAGGTCTGTACGTTGGGTGCCAAGCATTATGTGGAAAACTTCGACTGCTACATTCGCCCTCCACATCGGTGGGAGCGCCGTCGCGCTCCTAGAGTGATGGTGCCAGATCACGCCTGGGCTGAGGTATGCCAGGGGCTGGTTTCCACGGGGGTATGTTGTTTCATCAAAGAGGCTGATGTTTTTCATGTAGATGGTGCACCCTTGCTGAACGGGCTGTTTGGCGTGACTAAGGATGAGTGGCACGAAGGGCATGAAGTCTTCAGACTCATTATGAACCTTATTCCTCTAAACGGTATTGCTGAGCCGTTGCGAGGTGATGTTGAGACACTGCCCATGTGGTCCATGATGACGCCTTTACAGCTACACCCCGATGAGGCACTTGTGGTGAGCTCGGAAGATGTAAGGTGCTTCTTCTACACCATGGGTGTGCCTCAGCCATGGTGGAAATACATGGCTTTCAACAAGCGGGTTCCCGATGGTTGCCTCCCATCAGACCTTCAAGGTCAGGTGGTGTATCTGGCAGCCCGGGTATTGCCTATGGGTTTTGCTAACTCTGTTAGCTTGGCACAGCACGTTCATCGCAACCTAGCTTTGTGGAGCGCGACGCCCACTACTGAGGGAGCGACTGTGGTCAACCTGCCTCAAGGGGAGATCCGGAAGGACCGGCCGACAACGGTCGCTAATCCTTCCTGGCGAGTCTACCTTGACAATTATGACCTGCTGGAGCGTGTCAAGTGGGTGGACCTGTCGGATCTGCAAAGCCACCTTGCGCCATCGGTCCTAGCATTGCGGCAGCAGTATGAGTTCTGGGACATACCCCGGAACATGAAGAAGGCTGTTAGCAGAAGCGTAGAGGCTGAGGTACAGGGAGCTCAAGTGGATGGGGCCCGCGGTGTTGCCTACCCACGCGAGTCCAAGCTCCTGAAGTACTTGGCGGCCACCTTGTCAGTGCTTGGGCAGCGCACAGTCACGCAGCGACAAATGCAAGTGGTTTGCGGAGGCCTAGTGTATGTCTCCATGTTTCGCCGGCAACTCCTTGGGGGCTTAAACGCCGTATGGAAATTCATCACTTCTTTTGATGAGCAGCGGTCACATAGGAGACCTCTACCAGAAGCCTGCCAACTGGAGTTGGTGAGATTCCTGGGGCTGTTGCCGCTAGCACGCCTGGATTTCCGGTTGGAGTACAACGAGCAAGTCACTTGCAGCGATGCCTCGGGCTCAGGTGGTGGCATCTGTGCCTCGACTGCGCTCAGCCCGGCCGGGTGCCTGGCAGCGCAGGGGAAGCTGCGAGGTGAGCTCCCAGAACTTCGTCAGGAACACCAAGTCCTAACTATTGGGCTTTTCGATGGTATTGCCGCTCTTAGGGTGGCTGCTGACCTTCTTGGCCTTCATGTGTTGGGGCACGTTAGTGTCGAAGTCTCTCCAAGTGCTCAACGTGTTGTGACTTCGCATTTTCCCGAGGTGATGCACTACAATGACGTCCGGGCCATAAGCGATGTGGAAGTCCGCCAGTGGGCCCTCGACTTCTCACAGGCCTCCTTGGTTATCATTGGGGCGGGGCCGCCCTGCCAAGGTGTGAGCGGACTGAATGCCAGTCGTAAAGGCGCCCTCCGTGACGAGCGCTCTGGTCTTTTCCCACACGTGAAACGCATTTGGACTTTGACCAAGAGGTTTTTCCCATGGTGTCAAGTACACTGCCTCATGGAAAGTGTAGCCTCAATGGATCAATGCGATCGAGAAATCATGTCGGAAGACTTCGGCGAGGAGCCCTGGGCCTGTGATGCTGGTACCATGAGTTGGTGCCACAGGCCCCGCCTGTACTGGATCAGCTGGTGCCTGTATCCACAGGAGGGAGCCGAACTGACCTTGGGGAGTGGTTGCACTCCTAACCGAGTGACCCTGACGGCCTATCAGGACCTCGAGAGCGTTTGCAAAGAGGGGTGGATCAAAGTAGAGCCAAACCGGGCTTTCCCCACTTTCACCACCTCACGTCCGCGTGACAAACCCGGGCACAAGCCCGCAGGCATCCGGACCTGCGAGCCGGCGGATCTGGCTCGATGTGCACAGGACCGTCATCGTTATCCGCCATATCAGTATACCCCCAAAAACCTGTTAATCAACAAGCATGACAAGCTTCGCCTGCCTGACATCGAGGAGAAAGAGTACATGATGGGGTTCCCCGTGGGATATACCATGTCCTGCAGCCCAAAGCACGCTCGAGGTAGCGAAGAGCACTTGGACGTGCGCCATTCTTTGATCGGCAACTCTTGGAGCATTCCCGTGGTGGCGTGGCTTCTTGGTCAGTTGTGTGGGCCTTTAGGCCTATGCCCCAAGTACACCCCTCAAGAAGTCGTCGATTTCTTGGACCCCGTAAACCAAGTGTTTTTACAGTCTCGGCTGTGGAGATCTCCTTTGCGTCCACTCCGTGGGGTGGCGCCTACTGACGCTTTCAACTTGGTTTCTAGGCTTGGAAGCCTTATCAGTGTTAAAGGAGAAGACATTTTATTGTCAACCCCATCTAGCCAGATGGTCCGGTTTCATCGTCTTCGTACATCAATTCCGGCCAAGCTTTGGCGGTGGAAGGTTGTGTCGGGCTGGAAGTGGAAAGGCAACAAGGAACACATCAATTCCTTGGAATTACGAGCGGTGTTGACGTCACTCAAGTGGCGAGTTCAACATAAGCGTATGGTTGGCTCTAGGTTTTTACACCTAGTGGACTCTCTCGTCGTCCTGCATTGCCTGTCCAGGGGGCGGTCCTCCAGCAGGAAATTACGTTCCACAATGTCTCGCATCAATGCTCTGTTGCTTTGTAGCTCAAACCAAGCCCTCTGGGGCTACGTATCCACAGATCAGAACCCCGCGGACCGGCCCAGCCGGTGGGGTTCACGGGTGCGAACTAAGTTCAGGAATGCCTAAAAAGCATTTGGAGCGAGCTACACAGGCAGCACGAGCACAACAGAGACAAAAACTTGGAACGTTACAGGACTTGACGGTCCAGCCAGCCACCAAACAACGCTACAACAAAGCCATTGACGGTTTCCTTGCCTTCCTAAAGGAGAATCAGTTACAACTTCCTCGACAGCGTCAGCTTTTGGACCCTATCCTTTGTGAATATCTTGAACATCTCTGGTCCACAGGGCATGGCAGGGCCCTAGCCAGTGATACGGTTGCTGGCCTACAAGACCATGATGTTCGTTTGAAGGGTCAACTCCTGGGAGCCTGGAGGCTCCTTAAGACCTGGAGTCAACATGAAATTCCAAACAGGGCTCCTCCCCTTCCAGCACACGTCCTCCATGCTATGGTTGGGTGGAGCTTCTTCCATCAGCACTTCACTTTCGGTGTGTCGCTTCTCCTGGGATACTATGGTATGCTCAGGACTGGTGAGATCCATGCACTACGATCCTCTCAGATTGTGTGTGAGGCTGGTCAGCCCACTGTAGTGCTCTCCCTTGGACTCACTAAGGGCGGCAAGCGTCAAGGCGCGGCTGAATCCACGGTCGTTGGATATGACATGGTGGTTAATTTTGTCCAGCACTGGAAGACCTTAGCCTCAGCCGCTACTCCTTTAGCTAAGAGCCCCGCTCACTGGAGAGGTCTGTTTAATGAAGCATTGGAGTCATTGCAACTCCAAACGTATGGTTTCCGTCCATATAGCCTCAGGCGTGGAGGAGCCACATGGTGGTTTGCTCGCCATCACTCGTTAGACCAGATCCTTTTACAAGGGCGGTGGCATGCACCGAAAACCGCCAGAATATACATCAACGAAGGACTTGCCATTCTTGCTGAACTTTCCCTCCCTGCTTCTCACCCTACCCTTTCTCCTTTTCTAAAATTTTTTCACCAACAATGCACTCGCCTCACATTCTCGACCCTTGAGCCTCCTGTTCCAGGAAGGACAGGGGGACGTGGAAAGAGACCCACAAATGGATCACGAAGAGGATCCTCGAAGCGTTCAAAGCGCTCAAAAAGGTCAACTTGGTCTCCCTTCCAGTTGAGTGTGATAATCTAGTCTTGGTCAGTTGGTGTGGGTTGGCTCGGCTCGCCAGGTAGATTATCGTGTGTTGCTGTGGGTTTGGCCAGGCACACACTTTCTCTCTCTTCTCTCTTTCGGTTGTCTCTTTCAACTTTTGAACAAACTGCTGCGGAGTGGATTATAAAAAGCAGCTGTGTGTCACTCTTTGTCCCTACGTCCCGGGGTTAAAGAGTTAACACATGTCTTTTTATATCCGAAGTGTCTGGCTTCAGCTCCCTCTTCCTCCCCCCCTCTTTTTTTTGGAAAGAGACCCACAAATGGATCACGAAGAGGATCCTCGAAGCGTTCAAAGCGCTCAAAAAGGTCAACTTGGTCTCCCTTCCAGTTGAGTGTGATAATCTAGTCTTGGTGAGTTGGTGTGGGTTGGCTCGGGTCGCCAGGTAGATTATCGTGTGTTGCTGTGGGTTTGGCCAGGCACACACTTTCTCTCTCTTCTCTCTTTCGGTTGTCTCTTTCAACTTTTGAACAAACTGCTGCGGAGTGGATTATAAAAAGCAGCTGTGTGTCACTCTTTATATATATATATATCAATATTTATCAATATTTCTATCAATATTTCTATTAGTATATATTAATATGTCTATCAATATATCTATATCTATATATATATACATATCAATATATCTATCAATATATCTATCAATATCTATCAATAGTTCTATGACTATCTATCAATATTTCTATCAGTTTCTATTTATATTTCTTTCAATATCTATCAACATTTCTATCACTATCTATCAATATTTCTATCAATATTTTTATCACTATCTATCAATATGTCTATAAATATCTATCACTATCTATCAATATTTCTATCAACATCTATCAATATTTCTATCAATCCCACCAATATTTCTATCAATATCCAGCAATATGTCTATCAATATTTATCAATATTTGGATCACGATCTACCAATATTTCTATCAATATTTCTATGAATATCTATCAATGTTTCTTTGGATTTAGCTTTGGACATGTTTGTTGTCTTACTTTTTACACCAGCAATTCTTCATTGCCACAGTGGGCTGATGTTTTATCCCTTAAAGGTGGCCAGATTGGTGATGTTTATGTTGTATGATATATATATATAAAATAATATGTAACAAATATACATATATATATACATATTATGTAACGAATATATATACACACACATATATATATATATTACTGTATTATGATATTCCCGTGTCCAACCAAGAAACCAAGAATCCCCAAAGATCACCGACCTGATGTTGAGGTTTGGTGGAGTGTGGTTCCAGACACACGCTCTGCCTGACCTTCGACGGTTTGGTCGTGGGTTTCGGCTCCAACAGCGAAGGCGGAGCGGATGGCGTCATGTTTAGATACTTTATACTTGTAGCATAGATTAGATAGATTAGATAGATTAGATAGATTAGATAGATTAGATAGATTAGATAGATTAGATAGATTAGATAGATTAGATAGATTAGATAGATTAGATAGATTAGATAGATTAGATAGATTAGATAGATTAGATAGATTAGATAGATTAGATAGATTAGATAGATTAGATAGATTAGATAGATTAGATAGATTGGATAGATTGGATAGATTGGATAGATTGGATAGATTAGATAGAGTAGATAGACTAGATAGATTAGATAGATTAGATAGATTAGATAGATTAGATATGTTAGATAGGTTAGATAGGTTAGATAGGTTAGATAGGTTAGATAGGTTAGATAGGTTAGATAGGTTAGATAGGTTAGATAGGTTAGATAGGTTAGATAGGTTAGATAGGTTAGGTAGATAGGTAGATAGGTAGATAGGTAGGTAGACATAGAGACATAGAGACATAAAGACATAGAGACATAGAGACATAGAGACATAGAGATATAGAGAGATAGAGAGATAGAGACATAGCAACATAGAGGCATAGAGGCATAGAGACATAGAAACATAGAGACATAGAGACATAGAGACATAGAAACATAGAGACATAGAGACATAGAGACATAGCGACATAGAGGCATAGAGGCATAGAGACATAGAGACATAGACAAAGATCTAATATATACAGTATATATTCATGATTAATTGTGTACAATGTATTATTTTACGTATACCTACATAAGGTATCCATTATGGGGATCAATCATTTGACCCATGGCCCATACACACACAGATGGGGTAAGGCCTTGAATCTTTGAACTCGAGAAATCATCCACAATTCTCCAAGTGAGCAGTGTTCAAAACCCCTGTTGGTTAATGATTATAGGGGATTATACTACTCAATATATTGGGGATTATAATAACCCAATAGCAATAAGGAAATCCCATTTTAAACCAACCAGGATTAAATGGAATGGTAGAGAGATTTATTTCACACTGCTCACATGTTGTGGGTCAATTTGGGGATCCTTTCAAGGCAAAAAAACGGATCCCCATAGGGCAGAGATATGACCCAACATTCTGAGCGGGAAAAAACCACCACCTTTCCCAAAAAAAAGTGCCGCGTTCCGCAGCCTCCAAATCTTTAGGTGAGTTTTTTGTTGGACCTATCTCTACGACCAGGATCTGATCACAAACTACTTTTGGTCTCATGGGGACGACCTATCCCAGGCAGCATTTTGACATGAGATTCATCACTGAAAGTATGAACAGGCAGCTTTTTCTCAGTCCTGAGGGTTTGCATGTAGACCCAGTTCCTAGGGTAAACCCTGTTGGGTAGCTTCACCTGTTTTGTTTTGTTTTGTTTATCCTACATGGAAAACACGCACATGTTTTTGTGCGGTGTGTCTTAGATCAGTTATGCAATATATACTATATACCGTGTATCCAAAGGTATCTTGCCCAGAAGTCTACGATTCAGAATACTAAACATGTCCAAAGGATTCCAAAGGCAATATATATATATAATATATATATATATATGTACATATCAAGATGTTGATGTTGATATAAGAAATATGTTGATATCCAATATTCTTACAGGATGGGCCCCCCAATTATAAGTTGGTTTATAAACCCCATTAACTATAGTTATCTATACTTACATCTACCATAAACCATGGTCAAGCCACTTATGAGGCAACTTAGCTATCTTGGGGACCCCATCCAGTCCTATCCCAAGGTACATTGATTCTCTAAACATGTTGGCAACCCTTGGTCACAGGTCAGTTGGGCATCGGCCGACGGAGCGAGGTGGAAGAAACCCCTGTGGCAGTGCAGCTGGGTATCTCGCAGCACTGTCACCTGCACCAAGAATAATGACAGAGAGTGTATATCTAAATATGCATATATATATATATATATATGTATGATACATATATATATATATGTACGTATGTATATATATATATGAAAATGGTAATTTGTGGATTGAGGCTGGTGTTGAATGTATCCATGTCGATTAGGGTGATCCCCCGACCAGACACAGGTTCCAACCACCCAAAAGGGGGGTACACATGTCTTGGCAGCAGGTCGCAACCCAGGGCCACAAGTTCCAAAAATCCTGGGCGATATATATATATATGGGTAAATTATAGAGACCTCACTGTTCTCCCTCACTGGAATCATGGTTAGTAAGGGAAATCATTCGGAAATCATCCCAAAATGACCTTACTGTAATTCAGGTTAGTGAAATATTATAATAACCCATACACATATATATATATATGTAAAAAATATATATGATATATGCGCAATATAATATTACATATCGACATTCCATAGATGTTGTGTGAAAACAATTGAAAACATATAGTTCAAAAAGTTGAAAACTGACAGACTTCCCACTTACACGTATTTGTCCACAGAATACAATTCTGTTTTTTTTAGAACAGTATTGTTCAACTGTATTTTGAGATTTGAAGAGCCAACCCCTCCATCTACTGCCATCTACCCTTATGAGGGCAACACAGAGGAAGTTGATTTTAGCAAACAACATGAAAACAACAAACAAAAACATAATCAAAACAGATTCACTAAAAAAAAGGACTGACTGGAAGAATCACAAAAAAACAAAACACAAAACCCGGACTTTCTTGTTTTTTCTTTGTTGTTTGGTTTTCTAGTTTTTTTTTTTTTCGGTTTGCTTTGGTTTTGTGTTTTTTTTGTAATACCCTACATTCTCTGTGTTGTTGGACTCATAAATCTACCTACTTCAGATCAGGTTGTCACACGTCGAGATTGGAGGATCCATCCCGGGCATTCATCCGGCATTGCCTTTGGGAATGTTTCATATTCATACGTTGGTTTATAATCCCCATGAATTATATATATACACATAATATCTAGCATAAAGTCTAAATATTGGAAGCCCAAGAATAAGAAGTCTCTTATGATCATCAGGTCTACCAGGTAGCCATTTGCCCAGGTCCAAAGTGCAGGAAACTGGTGATCTTTGCCTTGGCTGCTTGGCTGTGCCGCTGCTTCGCCATCGAAAGATATGGAACTCCAGGGTACATCCGCATCAAAGAAAAATTCGATAAACAACTTGGAGAATTGTTGGATTTGGATCATTTCATGGTTGGATTTGTTTCTTTTTGGATCATTTCATGTTGGATCTAAAAACTTGTGAATTTTGGAGCGTCCAAGTCGCACGGAATTCTGATACACTTCCCATCGCTGCAAAAATGATCATCCAAGAAATGCCCCCTTTTCCCATCCGCCGGAGCCACAGCTTTGTTTTCCACAGCCGGTGGAGGCCGAAAAAACAGTTCTATAGAATTCACCGCCTTCAGCAACTAGCTGCTATTGTTTGGGGCCCTTGTGCCAGCAATAACAAGTAGTACCTCGCTGCCGTACACCTGGGTTGTTTCTCAACGATCATCTACTGTCCAGTTCTGTTCCGACGAAAAAAACATCAACAGGACAGTCCTGTGAACAGTTCGAATTATGTTGAAGTCACTTCCGCTTCTCTTGACCTTCAGTTCAATACATATATATATATATTTATATACATATTTATTTTTATCTATATATGTATATATATACATTATTTATATGATATATATATATAGTATATAATTCAAGAAATCCTGGCCATGGACACTCTCTCATTAAACATATCGGAAAATTCATCAAACATGAGGCACTTTCGATCCATGGCCTGGATTCGCTCAAACATGATTTGGCGGCCAATTTTTGTTTGGGAAATCCACGCGGACCTGGGGAATCGAATAAGGGAAGATGTTATAATATGTTTTATAATGTTGTATACATATATATATATATATATATTGTTGTATTTCTTCAGGGAAATCCTGAAAAAAAGAACTCATAGCAACAAGTTGGGCAGAATTGGGATGAATTGGGTGGATTCGTTGACCTTCATTTCACTTAATATCATTTCTTCATCTTCGTAAAGCTGACGGTATCAGGTAGAAAATGGCATGTGCCGTGGTCGAAGTTCGATTGTATACCCATAAATTTTGGGACATTAGTCATCAATCCTCATACCCTCTGGTAAAAATACAAAAAGCAAACTGTAACAGTCATTGTCTTTAAGTTCGGTAAATCAACGAACTTTTCATGTATAGAATATCACAGAAACACAATTGAAATTCCATAGAATTACCATAGTTTTTTTTTTAGAAATACCATAGAAACACCATAGAAATCAAGGAGAGGATGCAAGGAGAATTGAACTAAGTAAGAGATAGAAGCTATAGCAAAGGAAAAGAGACACGGATTTTGGAAAAAACTCTTCAACGGAAAAACTGGACACAATAGAAAACCACCACAACAAACATACTATTGAAGATCAGGGTTGCTCATGGGCTGCTCCCTTGAAAAAATGTGAGTACGTTTTTTTTAATGGTGTTTTTATAAGACATCCTACATTTTGGGAAATTAGACATTTTGAGAATCCCAAAATAATTGAACTAAGAAAGTAAAAAAGAACGGTTTAGCAAAGGAAGAGAAAAGGAGAGAAGAACATGATTTTGTAACATGTTTACTTCAACAAAACTTGACAGAATAGAGGACCACCACAACAAACATACTATTGAAGATCAATGCGGCTCATGGGCCACCCCCTTGAACAAAATGTTTGAGTGCTATTTTTTTTGGTTTTCATAAGGCATCCTATATTTTGGAAATTAGACATGTCGAAAATTCATGAAAATTCCAAAAGAATGGAACTAAGAAAGTAAAATCAAAACAATTTTCGAAAAGGAAAGGAAAAGGAAAGGAGACAATTATTTTGGAAAATGTTCACTTCAAAAAAAACGTGACACAATAGAAGGCCACCACAACAAACATACTATTGAAGATCAACCTTGCTGATGGGGTACCCCTTTGAAGAAATGTTTGGGTTTCATAACCTTTTAATGAAAAAATATGAAAAAATGATATTTTGTGAAATTGGTGCATTCTGATGATCCTAGATACTAAGTAATTTACAATAGCTACTCCACAGGGGATAACGGTAATGATGAACATGTTCACCTCAGAAAAAAAAAACTGGACACAATAGAGGACCACCACAACAAACAATATTCATCAATTAAACAATTATTTTCAAACATGCGGAGAAATGAAAAGAACTATTAATGCTGAACAAAAAACTGAAAATGCTGAACAAAAAAACTTGACACAATACCTTACCACCCCAACAAGCACACTGATTCAGAATTATTTTGGGTTTTTTGACACAATACAGTATCCCCACAGTAATCGGAGTACAACACTACATATTTAATGTCACATATATTCATGATCACAAAGGATGCCGATGACTCGATGACATTTTCCAGGCAGTGACCATGGATCACAGCTGTGCCCTGGCCTTACCAGCACCTGATCGGCCCGATCAGCTGAACAGCTACATGAGCGAAGGCGCTTTGCGGGCGATGGTTTCATGAAAAAGATGATGTCAGATGATGTCAGATGATAGATGGTATTTTCCCTATGTTTTTCCCATCGATTGTATTTGTATGTATTTGATTGTGTTATGATAGATATTGATAGATGGTATTGAGTGTTCTTGTTTGGGTCTGACATGTTTTGACTTGAGTGAAAAAATGAGATCTATTTATTTTTTTTGCTGGAAGTGTTGGCATTTCGGAAGCACTGAAACAATATGAAGAACTAACAAGCGAAACAGGTAGAATATTTTTTTGGTGGCGGTTTCAACATGTGTTTTCTCGTTGAAGGACGACCCACATCATCCGCCAAAATGGTCTATTTTAGACTGAAGTGATTTGTTTGGGGGGGTTCCCCATAATATAATTATATAGATACATATATATATATATATGAATAATATATATATATCCCAGCAAGTCTAAGGGACAACTTTTTGATGTCCCATGAGACCTCGTGGAAAGTGGTCCCAAAAGGAACATGTTCAGCATAGTTGGGATTATGTACTTTTTGGGTCCTTTGGGCCTAAAAGGAACGTTGCACAATACCATGTATAGATGTACTGTTTGGGCCCTTTGGGCTACAAAGGAACATGTCATGATACCATAATATAGGTATACTTTTTGAGTCCTTTGGGCTCAAAAGGAACGTTGCACATACATATCTCAGGCTGAGGCAGGGGTGTGGCAACCCCGCTTCAGCGAAGGGTTGTGAGTGGCATGTGGGCGTTTTGGTTTCAGATTTGAAAATCAGCCTCAAGGAGTCTGCAGCCTGCAAGCTGCGTGCCTTTGGTACACATGGCTCAGAACAAAAAATGTGGCATGGTTTGCTTGTGGGTTTCTTCATTAAGATAGACACATCATCCCCCAAAGCGTGAGCAAAGCGTGAGCAGCACGAGCAAACCGTGAGAAAACCGTGAGCAAACTGTGAGCAAACGGTGAGCACCGTGAGCAGATCCTCGTAAGGACCCAAAAGGAAACTCGTAAGGACTCAAAAAGAACCTCGGCGAGCGTGAGCAAAGCGTGAGCAAAGCGTGAGCAAAGCGTGAGCAATCGTGAGCAGCGCATTCTTGATGACAACATTTCGCGATACAAAGTATTTCACTTGTAATTTTCCCGCTGTTTCACCACCTGAAAACAAAACAAAAACATCCATGTCAGGCTTGAGATTTGGTGGTTGAATGTCCAGGCCAGAAAACGAAAACAGTAAATCAGCACGGCACAAGCATTGAACTTGGAACAACTATATGTCAGCTGCCTCAGTGGGGTTGCAACGTGGCATGTTGAAACAAAACATCTAGCACTACTGGCATTACTATATAAACTCTTGGCGGTAGAATCTTCGGCACAGTTGTATCAACGCTACAATCCCTCGGCTGTAGAAGTTTCGGCAAAGTTATAAAATCTTTGGCCGGGGAATCCTCGGCATTGCTATGAATCCTCGGCGACAACCCGTTTTAGGACAACTTATCGCAAGGATCTACTTTTTGAGGTCTTAGGACTTCTTGGGTATATTATATCTTATATACATAGCCCGCCTAATAGTATATAGATGGTTCAGAGTCCGTAGAAACGTGGTCATCGGAGGTGAATAAGCCTTCAAGAATCTGTTTGAGTTTACCGAATTATTTTCATTGCGTAAGTATACCCATTAATTCTATCCTCATATCCTCATGATATTCAGAAGCAAATGCGACCATATCCATTTTATCCCAATTATATTCCCAATTGTATCCCAATTATATCCGCAATTATATCCCCATTTTGTCCCAATTATATTCCCAATTATATCCCCATTATATCCCCATAATTGTATATCAGTTTTATCCATATTATAAATTTGTTCATTGGGAATTTCAGGATCCTAAAATGGAGGTACGTTATTACCATATTTTTGACCATATTTTCTGGGGATATTCCCTTAGGCCTGAAAAATAGGCCTTATATATTGTAGGTACCTCCAGTTTAGGTTCCTGAAATTCCCAATGAACAAATTTATAATATGGATAAAATGGATATTCATATTCCCAATAATATTCCCAGTTATAGTAACATTGTTGGCTGATCTTTTAAAATACATCCATTTTATCTATATTATATATTTAAATTTTCTGCGTATATTGATATATTAAATCATCATTAAATCACCATCAATCACTATTAATCACTACTAAGTAATTAATTGTTGAAACTATAACAGGCAAATTGGCGTATCCATTTATCCATATAAATTTATTCTTATAATTTTTTCACCAACTCCAGGAAGCTGTTTGCCACGACTTTCACTTCGTGCTCAAGGCCGGAGTTCGGGAGGGTCCGGGAGTGCAGGCCTCGAGGTGAGTTCGCAAGACTGGGAGCTACAGGATGTCCGCAAGATAGCGTTCAGTTGAGATATGTTGAGATATACCCTCTGGTAAACTAACATAGCTATTGAAAATGGCCATTTGGAGTTGATTTACCCATTAAAAATGGTGACTTTCCATAGTTATTTTTGTTTACCAGAGGGTAAGTGGCTTAACTATGGTTTAACTATGGTCTATGGTAGATATATCTCTAGTTTTCATGGGGTCTATAATCCAACATAATCGAACTTTAAAACTGGGGGGGCACCATCCTGTACTGTAACCAAGACAAAAATATATTATTTCATGATATTTCTACTGAGAAATCCGATGATTTAGCTGATTCAACTGGCTAAATGTGCATTTATGTGGCTAAATCAAGTGGTAAATGGCTGAGGAATGAATCATATCCAAAGTAACTCTGTTTTGCTGGGCCTAACCTGAAATCCCCAGATGGTAGTTGGAACAAGATTTTCCGGATATTCCATTCTGATCCTATCTGACTGTTGGTTTCATTTAGGAAGTGCAGAGTTTGGCTTTCAATCACAATTGCTCGCGCACTGTGGGGCGGGGTTGGAACTGTTCATATAGAAGTCCAACCTACATAGTCAGATTATTTGAGGTAGGTTTTCGCACTCGTTTTAACTCTCCTACTTCAAGAATACTCTTTGATAATTTGAGTGGCCTTGTGCCAACTGTGGTAATGTCTCCTGGCTTTGGACCTATGAATCTCAGTAATTACACGCGCGAACCAAACAAAACTACAATGATGATATGGCCGATGGAAACATCTGGCACCATCCCAGACCTTTGCGATTTGCCGTGTGAAACACGCCACTTGTTTGTCAAACATGTGCCGAACATCTGGAAAGATGGTCACATTCCTCAGGACTATCTTTCGCCTGGACATACACCAAAATTGATACTGGCCTATTGCTGTTTATTGCCAGCATTGGGTTTTCCACATCACAAAACAAGGGGCCATGATACAGAAATTGAAAGCCTTGCGACAAAGAACCCCCATGGGGCCGTAGGTTCTGAGATACGGCTAGCGGCGAACCTTCCAAAAACAAAGTCTCCCTACGGCTGGATCGGGCATAAGATTCACTGTTAACATTTTTTCACCATAGTTCAACATGTTCAAAGCAATTTTTAAAATTGGGATGGGTCAAAACCTACAGGATCACTATCATATTTGGGGGAATAAACGTGAATTAGCTACTAGCTATGACTTAGGGTACTATCCGGGCACCAGGCTTTTGACTCATAAATACTCATAAACTCTCATAAACATAAAGATGGGATAAGCCCAATGAGCCAACTAGGGACTACTTGGTGGCCCATCCCAGTTAGTAAGTGGATTATAGGCCCAGTTATATATATATATATACATATAAGTAGTGGGATAAGTAGGCTTAAACCACTAAAAAAACTGGGGTTTAATTGTAATAGTTATAATCCACAAACGATTCGTGGGATGAACCACCAAGTAACCATGCGCGAATTTTCACCACTTACGATCTCCAAACGATCCAAACGCAGGTCGTTTGGACAGCAGCCCAGTGGAACGCACCTCATCCATCGGTGGTTTGGGCCGATTGGCCGGCGCCAGCTTCTGCTGCCGCATGGCATCGCACGGCCATGTGAGGACCTGAGGATCCTAAGTGCTTCAGGAGCTTAAAATAAATGCTGATATGACCAACCAAAGAAAGGTAGTACAGTAATTGATAATTAACATATTAACATATTAACATATATATATATATACATATATATCCTGATTTATTTTCTAACTAATAAGTCATGGTCTCGGATTCATGGTCTTTTTCTCCGTTGCATCGAGACGGCAAGCCCGTCTCCATGGAAAATGTCAATCTTGGGAGTCATGGGGGTTTCTTAAGTCATGGGAGTTTTTACAATAAATAATCCATATAGATTTTCTGGGATTTTCCATGAATTTTCAACCATGCAGGTAGAAAGGGGATCCCCCATTTCTGGAACCGACATTCAAATTTTGCTGTAAAAAACCGACAGTCGAGATGGTCCGGAAATTTTGACCCCCATCTCACAGGCGAGATGAGCTATTTTTTTTTAAATGTTCCATCGACGAATTAACGACGATTTGCGCACGTTGGAACATGTTGGTTCTCGTTGAATATGGAAAATCCTAAAATCTGGTTGGTGGTCGGTGGTTGAAAAATCATGTTTTATTTTCCATTTCATATATGGAATATCATCCGAAACCCATTGACGAACTCCATCATTTTTCAAGATGGTTAAAACCACCAACCAGATACATATATTAACCTATTAAACATATATTAACCATATATTAACCATATATTAACCATATATTAACCATATATTAGCCATATATTAACCATATACTAACCATATATTAACCATATATAAACCATTTATTAGCCATATATTAACCATATATTAACCATATATTAACCATATATTAACCATAAATTAACCATAAATTAACCACATATTAACCATATGTTGACCATATATTAACCATATATTAACCATATATTAACCATATATTAACCATATATTAACCATATATTAACCATATATTAACCATATATTAACCCTATATTAACCATATATTAACCATATATTAACCATATGTTAACCATATGTTAACCATATGTTAACCATATGTTCACCATATGTTAACCAAATGTTAACCATATGTTGACCATATATTAACCATATGTTAACCATATGTTAACCATATGTTCACCATATGTTCACCATATGTTAACCATATGTTAACCATATGTTAACCATATAATAGCCATATATTAACCATATATTAACCATATATTAACCATATATTAACCATATATTAACCATAAATTAACCATATATTAACCATATATTAACCATATATTCACCATATATTAACCATATATTAACCATATATTACCATATATTAACCATATATTAGCCATATATTAACCATATATTAACCATATATTAACCATATATTAACCATTTATTAGCCACCATATATTAACCATATATTAACCATATATTAACCATATATTAACCATTAACCACATATTAACCACCATATATTAACCATATATTAACCATATATTAACCATATATTAACCCTATATTAACCCTATATCAACCATATGTTAACCATATGTTAACCATATGTTAACCATATGTTCACCATATGTTAACCATATGTTAACCATATGTTGACCATATATTAACCATATGTTAACCATATGTTAACCATATATTAACCATATATTAACCATATATTAACCATATATTAACCATATATTAGCTAATATATTAACCATATATTAACCATATATTAACCATTTATTAGCCATATATTAACCATATATTAACCATATATTAACCATATATTAGCCATATATTAACCATATATTAACCATATATTAACCATATATTAACCATATATTAACCATAAACTAACCATAGATTAACCACATATTAACCATATATTAACCATATATTAACCATATATTAACCATATATTAACCATATATTAACCATAAATTAACCATATATTAGCCATATATTAACCATATATTAACCATATACTAACCATATACTAACCATATTTGGTCATCGCCTTACCCACAGTTTCAGGTGTTGGCCATCCCGTGGCACCGATTTGCGATGTCCCTAGGTGATGTGTCGGTGGATGATGACGACGACGAGGTGGAATTTGTCGTCGCATCCATGGGGACGGTATGCATAACCCAAATGCGAACCTAGGTGCTGGTATATCTACCAACATTTACCCTCTGGTAAACTAACAATTTGCTATGGAAAGACACAATCTTCAATGGGTAAATCCATTTTTTCTATGGCCATTTTCAATAGCTATGTTAAATTACCAGAGGGTACCCGAAAAATCACCCAATCATGTAGGTAAATATACCATACATGGATCATATGGATAATGAAAAATATATAAGAGTGGATACATTTGGAAGCAAATTGGGGGCTACAATCAGACCCAACCGCATGGTTAAGATTGTTCAGTATTGGAAGGCTGTGGGTTGATCAACACAAATCGGGAGTTGACCAGGAAAAAGAGTGTATACTGTACCCTTTTGCGGCTACTACAATAAAGCGCAGTTTTTTCGAACACGGACGTGAAAGGGTGAAAGGCCTTATCACAGAGACTGTACCTTTTCATCATAGAGCTGAGGCGTTTGGGTTTGTTTGTTTGCCCATATTTGACTCCTATGGTCATGCCAATAATTGGCTGTTGTCACCTCCAAAGAGGTATCACGACCCGTTTTGCGATCCATGGTGGTTTTTCATCGTCCAGCCTGGAGGGACCTCAAACAGCCTCAAAGCCACCACAACATCACAATTGATGCTCGACACTACAGAAATCATATTAAATCATGAAACTTGGCCTCCAAGCTTTTGATGAATCCCAAGCAAATGATCCATTCGATCAATGTTTTGGTGATCCTGCTATAGGGTGATCCAACGGCATAACATGAGCGTTGGGTGTGGCCTGCAGTATAATCTCACTGAGTGACTGATAAATGAAACATGATGACTCAAAGTTTAACGTTTGTTGCTTCGGTATTGAATAGCTTATTTCCAGTTTAACGCATCATTATAGCGACGGACAAATACTTAGAACATCATTTGGAAAAAAAATCTGAAAACCGTCACAGCGGGGATGTTCTAAGTATTAAGTCGTTAGAACATACCCAAAACCTATACTTAGAACATTTCCAAGCTATACTTAGAACATCCCAGTGGGGAACCAATGGGAACCATACATATATGTTCAAAATTATACATAATTCATTTTAGCTCATTTTAGTATTGAAACCTATGCTTTTTGACTACCTCCTGTAGGAAACCCACAAATTATATACTAGAGACCTTCCCATTGCAGCGAAGACTGCTTGGGATATTGTTCCCGAAGAAAAGGTATAGAATGCTGCAGCAGTGAGGGGAGAAAGTGTT